CAACCTCTAGGCCCCAGGGCATCCAGCCCTCTGTGCTTCCGGAACCCACCTGGACCTCGAGCGCTCCTGCCCCTCTCCTGCTCTGCTGCCCCCAGTTGGCTGCCTTGCCTGTGAGCAGAAAACACCAGTTCGGGCTCTCCTTCCATGCCTGGGTCTGAGTCTCCTGCTTGTCCCTGGTCTACAGCAGCTGCTCACAGTCCTTGTTCTCATCAGACTGCAAAGGGAAGACAGGGCCTGCCACATAGCAGATACTTACTAAGTATTTAGTGACTAAATGAGGTTCCATAAATATCAGTTCTTCTAGGCTCCAAGCGGAAGGCATTAGCCTCCGTATTTTCTCAGTTGTTGTCCTATCACCTCGGCCTCAAATTCTTTGTGGCGATTGGGTTTCTTTAGCTGCTTCCTGGAGGACCTGGGGCCAGGGTTCCGCAGGCTCTGAACGCCTTGATGAAGCTCTAAACAAGGCAGACTGAAGCTCTTCCACGGTAAATGGGCCGCTTAACACTGCACTGCAGGTACCCAGGGACTGACTTCCAGCCCGGTGTCGTGAGGGTGCCCTGCCTGCCGCCGTAATTAAGCGCAGCCACGCAGCCGCTGCACGGCGCGTTAGGTTTTATGAACTCGGTGCCTTTCGAGCTCAGCACCTGCCCTCCCTGCTAAGTGCCTGCGGCTCCCTGGGGTTCTGTTCCTGCTGCCAGCCCAGGCATCTTTACTGCAGACCTTCCTCCTTTATCACGTTAACGCATGGGCATTAATTTTTTTTTTTGTATATACAGAACTGGGGTACAGGCCAGAGGTGCAGGGTGGTGAGAGGATTCACCAGAGACAGAGTGGGGAGCAGAACAGACAGATCTTCGAAGTACACTGCTGAGAGGAGCAGTGAGCTGGTCAGGAGAGGTCTGCCCGCCATGTGGTCACCTCTGGGGCAGGCGGGGATCGAACTCATGCGGAAGTGGCTTTCGATTCTTAGTGCTGCGCTTTAATCCGCTGCGCCACCAGGGAGGGCCCTGGCATTAATTTTTATGTATTAAATCCAAAAAAGGCAGTAACATTGGAGACGCAGGCTAGTCTTAATCTACAAGGTTGCCTGTGGAAGGCATTTGCATCCTCAGGGTCCCTGGGGACATTTCCTAGGTTGCCCTGCTTCCCTAGCAGAACTTTCTGAAGCATTTGCAGAGAAGGGGTGTGCTTGGAAGCAAGTGGCCAAAGGCTGAGAGCCTCCTCTGTGCAGAGAAGTTTAGCTGACAGAAGCTGAAGGGGGCTCTTGGGCTGGGAGACCCCGGGGAACTTTCATAACACAGCCAGCTGCTTGGGTCAGCCCCAAACAAGCAGCACCCACAAATATACTCGAGGCAGGCAGGGGCCAAGCTGGGCACAGGCATGCCTGAATGAGCCACCCTCAGGGCACCTTCCCTCATACTGGGCAACACAGGGAGAACCCCACTATTTATAAAAAGCCTATGGCGTGATGTGACTTGCATTAGCTGTAATCCACACTGTAGCCAGTGAGGCAGGCATCGGCAAGCCAGCTCTACTTTACGCCCAGAAAAAGTGAAGCCTGGGCCGGGGTGGCGTGGTGGTGGGGTATTACTCAAGGGGCTGAGTGGGAGCGGCGCAGCCTCTCAGAGGCACCTTCTGAAGTCAGGAGGTGGTGACTTCCATGTCCTCTCACGATGGGAGCTGCTTCAAGGAGTACACTGAGGCAGCAGGGCCAGACATGGAGCAAAGCTGCCTGGCCCTGCTGGGCCTGGAGGGGCCAGCAAAGGAGCAGGGAAGTGGCCTGTGAACCTTTGTGTTTGCTCCAACTGTATCAGGCCTGCTGTGTCCAGGGATGAACATCTCTGCAGGAGCAGGAGGCCACCTTGCCTGTGTGCCAGCTGCTGGGACAGATATGATCAGGCGAGAAAGCTCTGGAGACCCCACACCAACAGGTCACAACCTTGCAATTAAAAAAGGCTACATGGGGGCCCTCCCTGGTGGCGCAGCGGGTTAAAGCACAGCACTGAGAAGCTAAAGCCACTTCCGCATGAGTTCCATCCCCGCCTGCCCCGGAGGTGACCACATGGCGCAGCAGACCTCTCCTGACCCGCCCGCTGCTCCCCTCAGCAGTGTGCTTCGTGGATCTGCCTGTTCTGCTCCCCACTCTGTCTCTGGTGAAGCCTCTCGCCACCCCTGAGCCTCTGGCCTGTACCCCAGTTCTGTATGCATAAATAAATAAATCTTTTTTTTAAGAAAGGCTACACGAAGTGAGAAGATGGACTGTGACTTCCATCATGCTTTTGACGGGTAAACCCTGGCTTTGCAGATCCTAGGGACGCGCCTGTGAGCACCTCAGGCCGCTGCAACAGCTCCCCCCACCCATCTCAGTGGCACGCTCCTGCCCATGGTCCTGAAGGTGCATCTCCCTCCCCAAGTAGAAAGCCCTTCTCTTCTCTCCCCCGCCCCAGCTCAGCACCAGCTCACAAAGCTGCCTGTTCTCATACCAATTCATTCCTGAAGCTAATTCCTGAGGCATGTGAGAAAGAGCATTCTAGTCACAACCGGAGGGCCTCTGGGACTTTTAAATGATAACAGTCAGAATCACGACATGCTTGGGATATTGTGAGGATTCTTTCCTGCCACAAAAGCTCCCTATGATGAAGTAAATCAGTCACGGTAAACAACGTTTATGGAAGAGACTTAGCCACAAGCTAAAGGGATGGAGGGGAAGGACCCAATGTTCTGGTTGGGTGCTGTCTGCTGCTGCTGCTCATCAGGCATTTCCTCCCTACTTGCCTCTATTTTTAGAATAATTGGTGAGATTAATACCTGGATGTATGTGGCACCTGTGGTACCTGTCCCTCAGGTGTGGGAAGGCCGGAGAAGCAGCTATGTACTTTGCTTGTAGATGAAGAGATTGTGCCCTGCTGCTCACTATTCCAGGAGAAGAACCCCAAAGACAGCCCTGCTTGCTTTTCCCCATCACACCTTCGGGAAATGAAGCACTTACCTGGTGGTCTCTGAGACTCACTGGCCACTTAGAGGGTACGGCGACCTGGCTCAGACCAGGCTTCTGGGAAGTCGGCTGGAGGAAGATGCCTACAGTGGACTCTGGACCTCCTCCACCAGTCACCCACCACTTCTCTCTGGGTAGTCCCAGTGCCACCTAAGCAGGCACTCAGGAAAGCCAGCATAGGCCACACTACAGGAAGCTTCCTAACCACTGTCCCTTCCTAACATTGTCACCACACACCTAGCACACTCCACCGACCTGCTGGTGGAACCACTCCCGAGCACCGGGAGCGACAAGCTCCCCAGGTCACCCCCTTTGGCTTCTCAGCTCCCATCCTGTGCTTTAACTCCTCACCCTGGTCACAGTCACAGCCCTCCCTGCCCATCCGACTCGACTCCACTATTAAAGTCACGCTTCAAACTGTCATTTTCTTTTTAATTTTTAATCAGTCTGTGTCAAGAAGAAACAGGATTTGATCAAGCTTCCAGCTCCCACTGCTCTATCAGCATAGCAATTTTACGGATCAGAGTTTTGTTTATATTTGTCTAAAACCCAGAGGAGGAAAGGAATCAACAGCATGGATCGACATGTATTTGAAGAGACACTGCGGGACTCAGGGGATTCTTTAATCACTTGTTTTCTTAGGCACACTTCCTGGTGGCACCAGAGCCCTGCCCAGTAGGAATGCAGAACTGGCAGGTAGATGGGCAGCCTTCTTGAAAGCAGAAGGGCGGAGCTGACTCGGACTGAGTCCCGCCTGTGGACACTGCAGGACAAATTAGAAGGGGAAACACTCCAACCTCACCCTTTATTTGGAGGAGGAATGTGCTCACAGAAACAATTTCTGCTTTGGAAAGTAAAAGTGCGGGTGTAGAGCAACAAAGTTAACTGGCGAGAGGCTCATGACTCTGATAAATTGCCAAACAGAATCTTTTGAAAACGCAGAAAATGCAGAAACGAAACATTACCTTGGTTACTTTCTCCATCATGAGGTGAATCTGAAAACATTCTGACCATTTGCAAAGCCACATGATTTATCCAGTGCCATGGAGCCATGGGCTGGGCCATAAATACAAATACTGACAACATTTCACCAAAGGACAGCACAGAGTACATGAACTCTGCTTCTTGAAGAAATTCCCAGAAAGCAGAGTTGGCCTGAGTCTTCCCTTCCTTTTGCACCAGAACCACCACATCTGCTTTAGATTTGCTTTGAGTAGAGTCGCCCAGTTGACAGAGAGGGTGCAAGTCACACGAGAACCTTCCCTTTGGGAGCCTGCAGGGGGCGCTCTCTTGCTCTGCAGACCTGTGCAGAGGCTGATCCATCCTAATTTGGAGTCCAGAGACAGTTTGAAGCTTATTTTAGAAGCGAATTTACATAATGTGACATGCTTTCAGAGGAGGCAGGTGGCACTCATAAGTCAATGGATGTGGGATTCAGTAGGATGTGCATGGAGCTGTCCCATGTTCCAAAGCATGAGACACGCTAACACCTTCTTCAGGGAACACACCAGGTTCCCTCTCGTCCCCTTGTTCCGGCTTGGTCTCGGCAAACCCTCAGGTCTCATTTAAAAGCACTGCCACTGCAGCCTGTCAGCCTCACCGTTGAGACCGAGAGGTGTGATGTGAATCAGGGTCCCGATGTAGATAAATCAGAAAACGTCCCTCATTCTCCCAACCTCTGTCTTTTCGTGGCCTCACTCCACGGTCCAAGGCCCCATCCCCAGAGGGGCAATAGAGTCATCAGGGATTTTCCTGGTTATGGATCTTCTTCCATTAGCGGAATCTCTACAAAAGAAAAGAGGGTTACTAGCTTAGTCCACCAAAAAACACTGCAAATGTTTATGAGCTTATTATTATGAATGTGTTAAAATATCTACATTTCCTGAAATAAATGAGCAAGGAAGGAAGAAAATGTGAAGTCCTACCTATCAGTGAATCAAATAAATCAACTCCTCTACTGAGTATCTACTTGCTGGAAAAACTTCCACCCCTGCTCATTTAAAAAAAAAATGTTAGTGTGTGTATGGGGGGGGTGTTTAATCGTGGGATCTACTAGACGTAAGGCTAGAATCTGAGGTGCAGGGGGGCATTCCTTGGGAAAGCAGGAGACCCCCATTTTCACATCATTCCTGCCATTCACTGTGGATACAGCCGGAATGGGTACTCTCTTATGTAAACTGGTCCCAGGCACCCTCTCCTGGGAAACCGAACTCCAGCTACTCTGGCACATTGCTCCTACTTTTGTTTGAGCTCTAGAACCTGCCTTTCCTTTTGACAGGGCCACATAACTCTTCTACTGCACGCCTGGAGAAAGCAAGGCCCTCTCCCGGGCTGGGCCCAGTGAAATTGTCTGCGTCTCCCCTCTGGCACGAGGGCTATCCTGCTCCTAAGCACTACCTGCAAGGCCTGCCCATTCAAGAAGAAAGACCCGCCATGAAACCCAGGGCCACCCACGACCGCTGAGCTATTCTGGAAGGCTTGGTGCTCTTTTGTGCCTGCTGAACTTTCAGTGAATGGGCTCATCACTCGTGAGACTGGACGGTCACTCCTCTGGTAACTGGCCTTGCCTGTGGCATCTATGTGCAGAGAGAGCAAGAAGCAATTTAACTTGAGGGGGGAACGGAATGACTTGGCATTGTGCCGGGGTGTGTGTGGGGTGCACCACAAGAAGCTGGCTTGGAGATGTTGCGTGCTGGGTGCAGAGGTGTGTGAGGGCGGCTCTGGGCCTGAGCAAACACTTACCGTCTGCGATGTCGATGCCTGGGCTGGTGGATGCCACCTCTCCCGCTGTGCTGGCAATTGTGTCAGGGCTGCTGGAGGCCGGGAGGGGGTCCCCTTGGCCCATGGGGGGTGAATAGAGACTCTGGAGTAGTTCGGAAGAGCCCGAGACGCTGTCACAGGTTTCTGACTCCCCGGGGCCAGTGTCCGTATCCCCTGAGCCGGGGTAGGCTGGGGGACTCTGGTCATCTACAGGCAAGGGGCAGCCCTGGCCCATGGAGGCCAGGTACCCGGGGCCTAAGGCACTCAAGCCACCACTCACAGCCTCGTCGTAGGATGGGAGCATGACGGGCACACCGTCTACCACCACGAAGTCAGGGTCACTGCTGGAACTCCGGGGAGGGCCCCTGCGCCAAAGAAAGCGATGTCACCCATTAGAGCAACAGGCTGCCCAGGAGGGAGGCAGCCAGCCCCCCACTGCCACGGAGGCCCTCAGGACCCATGCCAGCAGCAGAACCAGCCTCCCTTTTGGGGGACGCTGCTGTCCACCATGGCAGCCGTGTGGCGAGCAAAGGTGCTTCTCCTCTCTGCCTCCTGTGCACCTGTTGAGTCTTCACCCCTAGGGCTGGGCCCCATCACAGGCCCCTTCCAGCCAGGCCTCCTGGGTGCCTCCGCCAGGGAGAAGAGCTTAGAGGTGCGGGACGTTGGGGTGCAGAGTGCTCATGGGAAGGCATAGCCCTCGCGCTAGAGCAGGAGAGTCCCTCACTGTTCAGGACAGAAAAACAGCAGGAGGGGAAAAAAGGAGAGCTCGGGGAACGTCTCGCCACCAGATTCAGCCGAGGGTCTCACCTCCACGCTCCGCGGGTGTCACGGGGACCTGGCCAGAGGCCGAGCTGAGCTGTCAGGAGCAAAGCTCCGGGGCGGTGTGTGGGCGGCGTGTGGGCAGTGGGCATGACGCCGCTCAGGTGCTCCCATCCAGGGCTCACAAGCAGGTGCCGGCTTTGCCCCTGCGCACCCCACGGCCTGACGTTCAGCGCTGCGACCCCGAGCCCGGGTATGTCTGTCCCAGAGCCCGAGCCCCGCACCACCCCCACCCTAGCCACCACTCTCAGTTCCTGGCCGGTTAAAGAAAGCTGGAAGGATTTCCTGGGTGGTCAGGGGACTCGGTTTCTTGTCTGCTCTGCTGGGAACTGGGGCTGAGTGACGTGTCCATGAGAGAAATAGCAGGAAGAGAAGGTGCAGATAGACAGGCAGGCCCTGGACCCCTGACAGGCTACCTGGGCTCCAAAAGCAGAGGATGCAGTGTCTGGATGCTGGTGTTGGGAGAGAGAAGGCTCGGCCACGCCTCTCTAACGCTCCAGGGACGCCTCCAGGCTGCTCACATTTTGGAATATGGGGCGGTGAGAGATAGGGCGGGGAGCAGAACAGGCCAATTGACGAAGTACACTGCTGAGGGGAGCAGCGGGCGGGTCAGGAGAGGTCTGCCACACCATGTGGTCACCTCCTGGGTTGGGGATTGAGCTCATGCTGAAGTGGCTTTAGCTTCTTAGTGCTGTGCTTTCACCCGCTGCACCACAAGGAGGGCTGGAATATGGTTCTTAAGGCTATGCAGAGAGGGAGGGAGCCGTGACCAGAGGCTAGACAGTCAAAGGGCAAAAATACAGGCCCTGTTCTGAACTGTGAGATGCCCAGACGAGAAGAGGCTGACAGGGGCCCAGGAGTCCAAGGAACAGAACTACTTCTGACTGCAGGGCCTGGCCCCAGCCAGGATGGCGGTGTTCGCCTGGGGCTGCTTTCCTACCCACTGACCTTTGCTTTCTAAGCGTTTCCTTCTTCCAGAAACAACAATCTGCCAGCGGCAGTGCTGGTTGGTACCTCTTTGTTCTGGGGGGTGACGGTGCCGTTTGCTGGGTACAGGTTGCAGGGAAAGAGGGGGGACAAGAGGAGAGGGGCCCCAGCTGCTCTGCACCCAGGGGTAGGCCTGCCAGGAAGGGGAGTCAGCAAACTCCTCTCTGTTGGTGACCGCTGGGAGGATGCAGAGACCAGCCTAAGCTCACCCATGCAGGGACACCCTCCCTGGGCAGGACCCACCAGCACTCTCAGGCCACCTCGGAGCAGATGCCCGCCAGCCGCCCCCTCACCGCACCCCCGACGCCCTCAGCCGTCCTCAGTCTTCCCATCGCACACAGATTTTGAGCCTCAGTTGGGTCACACGCCATGGACCTTGTCTCCTGATTAGTTCTGTGTATGTTTCATCTGCCCTGGGCTGGACGCTCCCACGTCTGGCCTCCAGGGCCACATGCATGCGGCTGGCGACCCTGGGAGGGCTGTGTCAGCAGGCACCTTGACACCGTGCCCCCGTTCACACCCCCATCACGCCTGCTTCGGGACTGACCATCCAGGAACGAGGCAGAAAAGGGCTCCTGAAGCACGGTGGAAAGAGGGAAATGGGGTTGTCTCCCCGGCTCTGATCCCCAGACACCCCGAAACAGCCAGGTAAAGTGCTTTTACTCTCTATTCCCCTTAGAACCTCAACTTTGTCCTCAACAAGGGTTGGGCTCACCAGCTTCAGTCTTTGCTGGCGTACTGAAAGCCTGGGGCGGCTGTGGGCTGCCAAGGTCCCAGCACTGACCTGGGGGGAAAGTGGGCCTTGAACTTGGTCTGGAACATCCTGGCCAGGATGACGAGCAGCAGCACCAGCAGCACGCTGGTCGCTGTGAAGGCCACGATCTTCCATGTGGTCAGGAGGGTCTCGTGGGTGCTGGGCCACGTTTGCTCTGTTATGGAACAGAACAAAGCAGCAGGTGAGGCTACCGGGCAGTGATGGTGCTGGGGTTCCAAGCGTCCGTTTGCTGGGTTTTTCTCATTCTGCACCCCGGGTGCTCCCCAAGCAGGTTGAAGTTACAGTACATCAGGATCCCACTACACTAAAGAAGCCCCCTTTCCTGCATGGGCTCCACCAGGCTGCAGAGGCCAGCACGCTCACTTTCCAGACCTGGGGGAGCTCGGCATGGAGTTAAATAAAGTGCCAGCTTCTCGGACAGAGAGTGATGGGATTCCCTCTCCTCTGGAGAAGCCAAGCGAAGCAGTGGGCAAGAGCAGGGCGTGGGAAGCTGGGCTCAAGTTCTTCATGAGTGTTCTGGGAAGGATTGTTGGTGTGAAGACAGGGACAGAAGGAGAATGGGGACACCCCTCAGCCCCCTACCCCTGGCTATGTCATGTCTGCAAGAGCTGGACTTCCCGAAGAGATTCCTTGTGGCACAAGCCCTGTCTCATATACTTTACCCCCCTCGGCGGCTGCCTACTTCGCCCCCCATCCGTCTCAGTTGTCCTCTTGGGCTCCTCTGGTCCAGGTTCATGGGCTGCTGGGGGCCTGCAGAGGCCCTGGGCCAGTGAACTCTCACCCCATGTGTTGGAATCATGACTGCTGCTGTAGGCAGCTGCAGGCATGCCCGGGAAGCTCGGGCACGGTGGGAGGGTGGGTAGGGGGTGGGCGTGGTGGTCCCAGGCTTCCTTCTCGTGGGCTTAATGATACGCACTCGCCAGTGCGCAGAGACCAGTGCTAGTGATTCACCAGTAACTACAAAGCACTGAAGCTTATGAACAGCCTACATTTTTATAAACGAAAACAGATTTTAGTTATAATTTTGTTGTCTCTCCTTAGCCATTGGGGAAATGTCCCCATTATTCTGATCTACTGGGGGATGTTCCCCAGTGGATACCTGAAGCCATGGATAGCACCAAACCACACACACACACACACACACACACACACACACACACACACACACACACAAAGCTTATTATATAAATATGTGTCTACGCATATGTATAATGCTTTTTTCCCTATACAGACATACCAAGGACAAAGCTTTATAAATTAGGCACAGCAAGAGCTCAACAACACTAATAACAGGTACAGTAATAACATAGGACAATTATAACATGCTCTAATAAAAGTTACATGAATGTGGTCTCTAAAAGTATCCCTTTTACATCATATTTTCAGACCATGGTTTACTGCAATGAACTGAAACTATGGAAAGTGAAACTGAAGATTGGGGGTGGAGCTAGTATAATATCACTGATTTCTGATGTGTGTTCAGGACACACGAGCCTGTGTCCTGGTAGAGGGGAGAAGCCAGGAGAAGACAGAGCAGAGAGGCCAGGGAGTCTCCCCAAGGTGGCCGGGGGTGGGGACCCTGCTCAGAGGGTCAGCGTAACCTGTGGTCGGGCAGGTTAAAGCATAGGGCCTGGGGCCATTAAGGTCAGTTCTCTATCTGGTTCCCACAGTGCGGGAATGGAGGGAGGCAGTCGGGACGTGCGGGCCGCCACTGTACAGCCCGTGACCCCACACAGACCTGGACGAGCTCACCTGACTTGATGCAGTAGACTTGATAGGAAGGAAACCACTCCCCATACTGGCAGGTGATGTACTTGTAGTCACTGGTGAGGCTGTAGCCGGGATCGCAGTAAAACTCCACCACGGTTCCATGGTTGTACCGCTCACAAGGCCGCGGGTGGCAGATGAAATCGCCGTGACTCACCATTGGAGGTAGCGGGCAAACTTGGGCAGTGGGGGAGAATAAGAGTTTCAGAACTGTGTGCTCCTCCCGTCGGCCGCCCCCCCGAGCAGAGATGGGGCTTGGAGAACGCACAGCCCAGAGATGCGCTGAGACGTTAAGCAGCAGACTGGTGAGCTGTCCCTTCCACACAGTCACGTGGGGTCAGAGACGCCCACTCTAATGTTCTGAGCAAGCGTGGCTCTCTCACGGCTTTGTAAAGTAGGTTGTTAAAGAGAGGCTCTCTTTACACTGCAAAGAGCATCCTGCTTAATAGACGGTGTTAAGCTGCTCTATTAATAATGCATGCTATTATGTGCCAGACAACCTAGTAAATAAAATTAAGATATTTATGGGCAAAATCTTTACTGAAAGAAATAGCTATCCCCAGCCTTGCTTCTGTGATTACAGGAGTAGTTTGGGGCTGTCCAAATCCCTGGGTGCCTCTAACCCAAGTGCCTGGTTGGGATTGGTTGATGATGGACCCCCTGACCAGTGAGGCCCAGCCTGGGATCCTGAGAGGAGACCCAAGGTTCTAGGCTTGGGTCACGACATGCATGACCTATGCACGTCACCTCTTTAAGCCTTGATTCCCCCTGTGAAAAAGGGGAAGTTCATTCTACCTACATGCTGTCTTACGGTTTTCTAACTTGAATACTCTACAATTTCAAGGGGAGAAATGTTTTCAGTTTCCCCCTTGAGCCCGCCCACTACCGTCAAATTCACACCTCTGGAGAACACAAAGACCTCTGACCAAAAAAAAAAAAAAAACCAAAAAGAGTTAACTGTCCAGCCGCTTCCCAGGGCACCCAGATGCCGGACCATGGAAAGCCATAGGCACAGCGCACCCACACACAGACCATGTCCACGGGGCGCTGCCCACCCCACACAGGCCATGTCCACGGGGCGCTGCCCACCCCACAC